GGGGGGGGGGGGGGGGGGGTCGGTCGGGTACCAGAGGTGACTTGTGTGCTGAAGAAGAAGGTGTGTTTGAAGATGGGGGTGGGTTGCGGAGTCCGCGGCTCGGCGTTCGCCATTCCGCCTCCTGTCTTCGGCTGTGGCATGTGAGTCTTTTGGCCGTAGTTTATGCTACGCTCAAGGTTGCTGCGTCTGAGCTTATAATAGGCACATAGGTTTGTGTCCCCACTGGCGTGGCGTGGTCCGGGCATGCAGTGTTTCCTGCACCCTGCACAGACCCTTGGAATATTATCCATAGAGTAAATGCATATCAAAGAGGTAAAATTCACAAAATATTAATTTCTTATTTCAGATGAAATAGAATTTGAGTAAAAAAATTTTTTTTACATCATCCCAGGTAAAATTGAATTTGAGAAAAGAAAATAATTGTTACGTTATTTTAAATTAAATAGTTTGAGGAAAGAAAATACCTACCTCCAAAACAAATAATATTCTTAAACACAATACCAAAAAGCAGCTAGGGGAATGTCAAGCCACAGAAAATGCAGTCAATGTAGGAATGAAACAGAAACTACTTCTGTAAGAAACGAAAGATGATGGAGAACCAGACAAAAGAAAAGTATTTATTGAACAGCAAATTCTGAAAGCTTAATTAAGATTTTTTTAAGCTTTTAGAATATGTCACATCGTGTGGCCAAGGAACAAGAGTGAAGGAGGTTGTTGCGTAGAGTGATGTGATGTCCTATTATACGTCCGTATAATTGTGTTTAAATTTGCCTGTAAGGTGTGAGAGTTAGTTTTCATATGGGTGAGTGCTCTTTTAACTGTTTGTACTGTGCATTCGGTCTGGTCATTATTGACAGGGTGATAGGGAGGAATGGTTTTGTGGAAGAGCGTACCTTGAGATTTGAGAAACTGCTTGAAGTAGGCTGATATGAAGCAAGGACAATCATCCGAAACAACAATTTTAGGCGAGCCAAACAATGTGAAGGAGTTGGATAGCAACTTGCAAGTAATGAAGATAGGTGTTATTTTGGGTATTATTTCAGAGTAGTCATTTTAGAGTACGTATTACATATTTTAATAAAAGAGTACAAAAAGTGTGGCCTGACAAGGAGATCTGAGAACTAACTAGCTAAACAGGAAGGGGCAGCTATAAGCGTAAGTTCTTATCAAAATGGAAATATGAATCCCAGTATTTGCAGTATGAGTCGCCATTGGAATAACGCGACATTGTCAAGTTGTCAAGATTATGTATAGAATTCCAGGGTTCAACAGCAAGTGGCCTCACTTGTCATGGAAGAGCTGACAAAGACCTGAAGAAATGTAGAATATGCATCAACAACTATCAATAAATATTTATTATGTACAGGTCCAGCGTTGTCAACATGAATTCTTTCCCACGGATAGAAGGGGTATTCCCATGGGTGTTTATTGAATTTGGGAGGCTGCTTTAGATGCTCCAAACATGTTTTGCAAGATTTAGAAGCATCTTCAATATCCTTATCTAGGTTGGGCCAATAAACTAACGACCTCGCTTGACTTTTCATTCTAGTCATTCCAGAGTGAGTGATGTGAAGTTCATTTAAGATTCTGCTGTGCAGTTTAGCTGGGATGATGTCCACGATGTGACAGAATAAAGTTACCAAAAAAATTTTGGTGACAGGCAGTGAAACAATAGATTTTGCCAAAACCAATGGCTGCAGAATCTTTCTTCTCCTAGGATGATCCTCCACTAGCTCACTGAATTTTTTATTTGGTCAGCCTCAAATACTATTAATTGTCTTTCCTGTTTTGTTGCACGGAAACCTTAGTGTCAGGCCTAAGAGCTCGCTTTTCCGGTCAGTTTGTTAAACATGTTTTCTCATATTGTTTTATTACACCTTTCCCCTCTCGCTGCAAGTGTCTGATAAATTTAAATTTTCTGAGGAGCCTCACAATTTGGAAATTTTTCTAATTGTCTGTGTTACACCAGAAATATCAGAGTAACTGGGAGTGCACATACACAACATGTGTCCTTTCTTTGTGTCGATTAGTTCTAAGCTAAAATTATTACCAAAAAAATACGGGAAACCCCTTCAAACCAACTGTATGGATGAAGTGCGGAAAATTGAGAATCTCAGCCCTCTCCGCAATATTGTGTCACATCTTTTGGGTTATTATAAGGAGTAAATTTAAAGCTGATAACTCACTGATCACGGTGGAAACACTGCTTGAATAAATCGGCCCATGTAAAAACTTTTTATGTCTATTTCATCGCTTCAGAGTTGCAACCTCTTGTCTTTGTCCATCTCTACTGTGAGCTGAAGATGTGGCTCTTTTAGTTCCTCTCATCAGGCCCGGATTTTTTATCAAGCTAATTAGGCTATAGTCTAGAGTGCAATATTTTGGAGACTTCATTCCAAAACGTTAGTAATGGTGTCTCAAAATTTCAATTTTTGAGTATTTTGTTACTTTTTATTTTCCAAAACTAGTTTTTTTCTGGAGTTCAAATCTTCATAAGTAGAACATCTCAAAATTGTTTAAAAAAATCCTCGTGTGAAAGGTGAACTTGAAGCCAGCGCTGCCCTGCCTTTCATGAAGCACTTCAAATTTTTTTGATAATTTTGGCATATATTAATTTGTTGCTAACAGTAGAAATACCCCTACAAATTTTGAAGCTATACATAGGATATAAAGACATTAAACGTTTTTGCACTACTTAATTCCACTGAGAAATAAGTTCTGGTCAAAACTTACTTGGTAAATGAAATTACTCTTCCCAGGAGGTAAATCGAGGCCTAAACCCCTTTTTTCACACATAAAAACGCTTATTTATGTTTCCTTGCTATCCAGTTTGATTCAGAACTGTACAAGTATGAGCCTTCCTTGAAACTGCGAAGTTAGCTCGAAAAATTTGCAGACTTGACTAAAATGCAAGGTGATTGTCCGGTCTGAATGGACCTTGTTCTTTCAACTTGTAATTAATAATAATATTCTCAGAGTTCATTAAGATAAGTTTTTATTTATTGTCTGTATATTTTATTTCCTCAATGTCGGGGCTATGTATTGCTCGTTTGTGTGAAAGTCCAGCAACTTCCTAGGCTTTTTATAGGTCAAGCTGCAACATCTCTTGGCCAAACAGAAGCCAAGATTCTGTCTCATGTCTATTCGTTTGTCAAAAATTGAAGTCCTAACAATTTTTTTTATTGAAAATATATTGCTTCATTCACTGATACCAAGTACCTACATTGTGCACATTTCTTCTGCGTTGATTGTTAATTAATTGATCTTTTTGATGTATCTATTTTCAACTTGGTTGAATCTTGAAACTATTAGCCTGTACGTCAGGAGTATCAGTTCAGCATCTGTTACATGAACATCTCTTTTTTAAGCCAAATATTGCATTTTGGAGTTTGATTAATTGAGGATGAAGAGGAAATTCCTGAAACCAGAAACATTTTTGATTTCCAGTGACATTAGACATCTAAACAACATCCTTGACCTGCGAACTATATTCGAGCCAGAATTGTATCAAATAAACATGTGTCCAACCCTTTTAAGCTCCCATGTTATGCCTAGGTTTGCATTTGTGTTTTAGAGAGAACATGTTGACTAAATTCTGGGCAAACTCCAGGAAGTAAAATTTACCTTACCCTTTGCAGCAAATAAATTGCAAGTCTGCTTATTTTTTACTACTTTTTTTCTTTTCCTTTGTTTTCTGCAGAAGGTATTTTTACAGGACCTCTTTATTTTCTCTTTAACTCTCAGATAAGGGAAGAACCTTGTCTTCAAAACCATAATTTTCAAGTAAATGTATTAATGTTTTTAAAAATTCATTTCTGAGGTATTTATCTTCAACCCATTAATATCCTCTTTTTTCGGTTTTACAATGTGCAGCACCCCATGCCTCTGAATCACCTCAAATAAATGCCACTCCAGAAGCTCCAGGCACCAATTTGAACCCAGCAGGTAGAATAGCTAAACTCTTTTCCGAATCAGTAAATTTAGAGCTAAAAGAACGCTTTAATCCCATGCAAAGTGAACAAAATTCCGCCTCTTCCTCCTCCTCCACAAGAACTTTTGTTTTTGTGGAAACCGACATGGAGGATTTTTCATCAAGCCCTTGTAAGGAAGATAACCGATCCGAAAGCGAGATTCAAAACTTCACTTACTGTTCCCGCTCTGGCACTCCAAAGAAAAACTCGCCCATACAATTGAACCCTGAGCCAAATGCAAGCAAAACTAATCTTGATTCAAAATCCAGTAATTTTTCCTCGTCATGCACTAATTCTCATCCCATGGAATTTTTCCCTGTTACTTTTGTTGAACCAAATTCAAAGTAGAATCCTTATGCATAAGGACTGTTGCAAATAGAACTGTTTTCCCTTACTCTCTCTGACACAGTTATCTCTGGAAATTATCTTTGAGCACTAATTTACAGTACTTAAGTTCAGTGCATTTTTCTCCAGATGGCTCAGATATTTTGAAAAGAAGAAGCAATCACTTCAGTTACCTGGAAAAACTTAGCATAAATAGGTAAAATGAAGTTGTAAACTTTCAGGACCAAGTGCACCGTTTACTTGATCAGCAAGATTTTACCGATGATTTTAACTTCATTGAAAGTGCTTCAATTCATTCAAGCCCCCGGTTTGAAGCCCCCTATATCAGTGTTTAACCATGCATCAGTCCTAACAACTTCTTGTTTGTATGAGCAGTTTCAAATCATGCTTGCTCTCTCATTTTGTAAAATTCTTTCCAACAGTATCGTCAAAATTTAAATTAAGTTTGTCAAACTTCAGTTTCTTCTGTGTTGTAAATTAAAAGTCATATTTTCCTAAGTTCAGTGATCAGTATTTTACCAAACTATATGCTCCTTCATCGATTTGAGATCATAACTGAGCATTGGCCTTTCACACCATCTTAAGATTAACTGTTCAATTTTTGAGTGTTGCATCTTAATTCAGAAACTATTAACAAATTCTTCTCAATTCCTCTCTTTATTTCCTCTCAGTTTAGTTCTTGTTGAAATACTGTTCATTTGAAAATTAATGAGAGAGAGGATTTCGAGTGGAGGAGGATAAAAGGAGGTACCTAGATTGAAGCACAAATTGCAGGATGTATTTTTTTGTTTTGTCTGTTACTGTCCTCTGTGGAGCGCCTCCTGGGAATGAATACTCTTTAAGCAGTTTGTTAAATAAGGCTATGTTTTTTCCATGTAAATGGTGTTGATGTTTTCCTCCTTATAATATTGCAATTTAAACCCAAATGATGTTCGCAAACACTAAAATTCCATCTGGAGTCTTTCAATTTAAGGGGATTGAACTATCATCGCAGATATTCACTTGCCAAAAGCAGAACAGTTCCCCATCGTTTTAGTTGCCAACACACCAATCGAGTCCCTTTTTCCCATCCAAAGTTGTGTTCTGCAATTTCATTCAAATTGATTGGGAGCCTCCGAATATTAAGCACTGTTTCCAATCTAATTATTACATTTGAACCTTGCCCTATCCAGTTTTTAGTTGTTCTCTTGTTATTTTTTTCCCCTGAAATGTTCATGTTTTTACCTAATTTTTTTTTTTTTTCATTGAATTATAAACTGAGAATTCCCGTCATTTTAAGTGCTCTCTGCCTTATTTGAGGTTTTGTACCACTACTATTCAGGATCATTTATCCTTTTTGTGTAGGTGAAGAATCCCGATCATTCCTTGATAAGTTGAGAGACTGCTCAATTATGTAGAATTTGAATCGAAGATTTGAGTCAAACTATCTGTTACTTACTTTTGCTGCCTCGTCAACATCTGTTTGCAGTGTCACAAGTACTGTTTAATCACTATTTTTGAAATTGTACCCGACTTTTTTATGGGTATAATGACTGTCAACTGAAACACCATTTTAAGTTGCGGAACTTTTTTTATAGTGTCATCTTTTTTTAAATAATATAAATAAAGAATAATCAACCAGTTTCATAGTTTTTTTTTAGTTTTTTTGTATCAGTGATGAAATGAAAATGAACCTTTTAGGTTTTTTTTTTTTGTGTCTTTATTTGAAGTAAGTGTTTAATATCCTAACCATAGAGGTGCTTTAATTTACTTTTCTCCTCCTCCTTCTTAAAAAAATTTCGAAAGAGCTCAAACTAATAAAGAAATTGGTGCTCAGGCAGGCATCTTCTATGCATTGCAATTTGTGACAGTGTGAGAGGTCAAGGGATCATCAATTTGTGGTTTTTCATTTAATTCTGAATAACAGCTGTCATCTAAATTCCCTCGCAACACGCTTACGCGCTTACACACTCACGCATGCTGTACTTAAATAAAAATAAACCTATTTTCGCTCCTTTAAGACTCCTGCAATCAAGGGAGACCTTCCGATAGCCTCTGTGTACCTGATATTGCTGTCTTTTCTTTTGAAGGCTGAGATATGCGGTTGGTACATTCGCTTTGCTAAATTACCTACCTCAGCATGTTTGTCGAAAAACGAAAAAAGACCGCCACTTTCAATGATTTGTCATAAAGTGCCTGAACGTAGTCCAGTATATTAAAACGTGTACATGTGTTACGGGTTCAAAAAACTTCAGTATCTGTTTGAGAAATCACAATTGAGGGCTTGGAGGACAAGGCGCATTTAAAGTGCAGTTTTTGAAAAAATTAAGGTATTAAGGATTTCAAGAAAAACTCGTCTTAATGCGTTCTGTGAAAAATTCGCTGCCAAATTCCAATTTTTAGGTAAGCATCTAAAAGTCAGTCTGAACTCTCGTTCCACCATAAAGATCTATATAATTTCGAAACTTCAAACACGTAGTTCTACGCATTTCCACGCGAAATACCTTCTTCAACCCTCCTCATTTTTTATCTAATACAGTAAACATCTGCAGGAAGTCTTTTTCTTCTTTTTTCTTGAATTTATATTCTTGTCTTTAAAACAAATAATAACAGCGTAGATTTTGAAACGTTGCAACAGGAACACGTTTCCCCCCCTTTTCTTTCTTTTTTTTCTCTCTCACTCTCTCCACTCGAGACCGTATCGATTAGGAATAAGTTTATCAATAAATATTCGAGCGAAGTAAGACCTGAGCCATGGACCAAGAGAATAAATATTTATTCTCTTGGTCCATGCCTGAGCCAGAAAATCATCCAGAATATTATCTCAGTTCTCAAATTACCAGGCACCCCTTTCCCATTTGACCAAAATATGTATAACGTTCCCCTGTTTAAATTTATAGTGGAACTGCGGAAACACATGTCTCGTTTGCGGTTTCTCAAAATGTCCGCTCCTGCTTTATTTTTCAAAAGAACAAAATGTTTCAAGAATTTAATTAAAAAGGCAAAGAAACTATCTACAGATTTTGCGTTATGAAGATGATCAGTCATAATGAAAAAAAAAGTCAAATGTGGCAGAAAAATGGCCCGTGTGAATCATTGGGAGCCAAAATAAACTCAAGAGCCTTCACGATAGTGCATGCAGCACGCACCACCGTCAAGCTGGAATAGTTGCAACCATAGTTGATCCAGGCGTTGAGTATGTTGTCACTTTGTCAGCAACACGGCTCATCCATTATTATGTATATCCATCACCTTGTGTGCGAACCATTAGGTAGGTACCATCTTGACGGACCCCGAACTTGCTTAATGAGATGCTAAATCAATACAAATGAAAATCGCAAACAAATGCCAAATTGATAAAGATATGCCCGTGGGTACCTAATTTCTACGAAAATGTTCCTGCAAAATTATTTGAAGAATTTGTGATTGAGTCCGACGAAATGTGTTTTATATGGGGGACAAAATACCTGGAGATAAGCCATTTTCTCCGAGGATCTGATCTGTGAGACCCTCGCCTTGTAAAAATTAAAAACGGAAAGGACGATTTTCGCAACAAGTCAAAGGGACATTTTTACAGAGAGGGGAATAAGGGGTGGATCTAAGAATAGGGGGCTTAGGTAATTTTTTTTAAGTGAGGTTTAGATAGGTACTCTCATGGGTTTGGGTAAAATCTTAAATTCTACTCCTTACAAATTTAAGGAAAAGTCAACTTTCTCCATTTTTCAACGCCCTCGTTACGGAAAACGCAGATTCTACATTCTAAGGGATTTATGTTTGATGTGAAAAAAGTTGTGTAAACTTGAAAATAACGTTAACTTTAAGTTTCACGTCATACCTACTTAGTTGATGGAATTGCACTTTTTATGGTAAAGTTTAGGAAAAGTATAAAAAGTACTAATGGCTTTTATCAGGTATTTTCCCATTGAAAGTTCAAGGAAATAAGCGAACAAAATTCATCCCCTAGCGTCTGCTCCCACCTACCGCCGCCGACAGGCCTGTTCATCAAAGTAAATAATATTTCTAACTTTCATCTTCAGGCAAATAAGTAACAGAGAAGAAATGTTCATTGAATTTGAGTGTCATTGTGTCATTTGATATCAGGGTGTGTTATATATCTCTGAAGTGAGCGAGGATATTCTATTCTATGGAAAAAGGCTGTAAGGACAATTATGTTGCGGGCTGCAGCTTCGCGGCGTCGCCGGCGCCAACAAGCGCCACGATCATCTGTTCGGCGGCTTCCCTCTGGTTGGAGCGGAAGGGGGAGTAACAAAGAAAGAGCGGGAATTTTTGAAGCGCTGTTTTGCCGCCAACAAATCGAGCAACACCATTGGTTAGCGATGCGAAGCAGCCGATGAACAAGCTGAAAAATGAATCGCGACGTGAAGTTGATAGATATGAAAGTATTTACGATATGATGAGTGGCTGTTGTTGCGAAACAGAGTGTTATAGGTGAAATTAATCGCATTCCAAATCGCTTTTTCGTAATGTGTTATTTATTTGCCAGTTTTTAACATTCTGACCGGCTCCCAGTGTTAGGATCTCCGGGTGTTTTTTGTGAATTTGGGGTGACCGAACGCCGAACAAAAGACGGGATACTTGGCACTACCCTTGCTGTCGGCGACTGTAAAGTTTTTTTTTCAAGTATGTCGAGGATTTTAGTAACCGGAGTAAATGGTTGAGATGGCGGTGAATTAGCTGCTGGCTACGCCGGATTTTGGACTTTCCTAAGGACATCTGAAGTAAGTTCCTTCTGCCTTGTTTTTCTGTCACCTCTGAAGCCCTTTTTTATCACGTACGTAGTTGCCCGGACTTAAACGTGTCTCCATTTAGTTTACGTTTTAGGCCATACCGTAATGACCCGCAGGAAATATTTGCGGTAGATAATCATTTATCCTCACGTTCATTCTAGTGCTAAGTACTTTCTATGATGTGCCCTCATGAATTCCTGATCCCAGTAAAGTTGATAACTTAGAAGTGAGTTTTATCTCTGGTCTCAAAGGAGAGGTCATAGCCTCTTCTACCCTGATGCTGCTTACCTTATTAAATGATAAGGTATTTCGACCATCTTTCAATGAGATAGTTGTCTTGAAATTACTGAGGTTTTGCTCTTCACAAGGTCATGGAGAAGTCCACCTTCCTCCCCAACTGAATGTAGCATCGTAGGTAAGTGCACCATTAGACCTCACTGACCATGCTGCCCGATCTGTGACTCATTGGCTGGCTACCTTAGAACCCTACCGTGTATGATGAATTCTTATCTAATTTACTCATATATCCATCAATCCTTCCCTCCTGGATTGATAGAAATTTACCCAATACCAATGCCATTGATCTGGACTTAAATATGTCCTATCGCTCCCCAGCTATGCAGCACCCAACAAGGTTATGTCTTGTCATTGGTTCAAATGAAAGTTTTTTTCAAGTCTTCTTCAGTTTATTCTTTGTATCCATAATGGTTTCTCATGAGGAAAACGGAACTCTCTCTTGAGTCGCATACTTAAATCCAGGTTTTAATTCCTGTTATAACTTAATACCTAGAAGTTCACCATTGGTAGCTATTGTTTCCCCATCCCCATCATAGTAGATGTTATTCAGTCTCAGTTCAGCACGTTTCTTATCTAATCTGTGAATGTGCGGTACATTGAATTCAGTTTCCTGTGACAAGAGTCAACTTTATTTTGGAATTTATATTAGACGGATCTCTGAGCCTATGGGTTATGGAGGACTTTAATGCATACATCAATATTACCGTAGGACATTAACTTGTACGAAAGTTGCAAGTCGTTCTCAGCTTCCAACATAAATTAGGTCAATTAAATTTCAGTGGTTTTCTTTTTCATTCATGCCTATTTGTGTATCACTTCTCTCTCGAACTGTGAGTTAGAGACACTTCAATTTGCGCTGGAATTCAACATGGAGCACCAACTTTGAAGATATGTTTACAGTTACCCTGTGAGTTTATTCTATTAGATTTATGACTAAGGTTCTCAATAGAGCTGCTTCATCAAGTTCTGCTCCAAATGCTAAGCTCTGAGTAGTCCCGTATGAACATCACCCATCAAACGCAATTGTTATTCTTGAGCAACGTTTTCTATCAGATTGTATATTTTTCATAATATGGACAAGCCGACAATCTCAATATTGAGTCACAGAGTCCAGCATAAGTCTGCCTGTATTCGCGGCAAGAATTAAGTCTCCATCAAATTATTCTGATGGCTAGAATGCCGAAGAAATTAAATTGTTAACTGCTGATCCTATCTCTTAATGGAGAATACTTAGTACATGGCATTTTCTCTGACTGCCTAGGTGAACAACATGGATCCCTCCAGCCTACTGAAGGCTTTGGCGGTCACATATTCCCTTAAGTTTCAGGAAAGATCTCCAGATGTAACAACTTGCTTGTATATTTTACCCTCAATTTCTTATGTGGTTTTCTTTGTTGATCTCCAGCATGAAGCACTCAGTGCATTAGCAATGATGATAGAAGTACATAATGCATTAGCACAGAACAATGATCAAAATCCTCACTCTCCAAATTTTTGTTATGAAAACTGAGCAAGGCTAACAACTCCAGAGAAAAATAATATTTTTCTGCATGAAGGCAATCAAACATCACCAGTTCTCAAAACCCCATCAGTACGCAGTTG